GTTAATTCACTTAGTTCTTTAATATAAATTCCACGTTAGAGCGAGTGGCAGATCGAACAGACCCTTATTTGTTTGTTTTGGTAACGGTCTTAGATCTTATATAGGCTTTCCTTTCCACCTCAATCTTCGTTCGATTACATTGACCTCTCGATGTAATTGAGAAGAGCTGGGGATTTCGTGACATTTCTGATTGGCTTTCTTGTATTTCTAATAAGTTGTTTAATAGTTGGCATATTGGATGGAATGCGAGTGGAAAGAAACCTGTTTCAGTTCTGCTTTCAATCTTGCATAGGTAGGGGTACGGTACGATGTCATTGCTCCCTCACTCCTTGAAGAAGATATTGTTACTTATTTATTTTTCCAACTTCAACAAAAAATATAAATATATTTTTTTTTTCATATTTTGTTGTACGTTGATTATTTTATCAATCACCCGTGTATTACATGAGTATTGTACTAGTTAATATTGAAAAAAACAATCAATTAGGTGGGAGAATCCAATGGTTTTGCTAGGAGCCACCAGATGGCTCGACTTATGGAGTCATCCATAGTTATTCACAAATGATGTATTGACACGCGTCCTGTAATAAATCCACATTAGACACGTGTCAGTACATAAAGTTATGAGGACTCAATATAATTTTAGAGAACTCATACTCTGGTTATAGACTCTTGACAGACTCGTCTGTAATTTATACATAGCATTTTACATGGATAATATTTAATTACTCATTATTTGTAATAATTGTAAACATAAAAATATATAGAACACACTGTACACACATAAACTTATGTATCTAATTTATTATTATTTCTTATATATTTGTTATTTCTAGTAATTAGAACTATTCTTTTTATATAAAAACTATAAAATGATAATATGTATGTATGTGATCGTCATACTTATAAAGACGTAACATTTATCCTCCCTATATATTATTCCAGAATGCGTTGAGCCTACATGGCTGCTTCTGGTGCTTCGGAATCCTACTTGGCAAAGAATCATGCTTCCTAATTAGGTTTGGACAAATAATATTGATATATATTAATAATTAATAATTTGGGTTTGGACATTCCATAAATATTATTTAGCTAACTTAGGTATTTTAATATCACTTGTACTAATATAACCCTTTATTTCTTTGTAATTTTACATACTCAGGCACTAAGTGACTAATATATCCCTGACTTTTGATTTGTTTCTTTCAATTAGCTATTGAATTATAAATGTATTTTAAAAGTCGATAACTTCCGTATTTCGTATCGGTTTTACATATATAATATATCAAATTAATCATCTTTTGATTATCTTCGATTTGACATCCATATTGTATATATGAAAAAAATAAACTATATTTATATTTATAATAATAAAAAATAACTAGTACCACGCCCGTGTATTACACGGGTGCTTGCTAATTTTTTCCTTAAAATATAAAATTATTGAGAAAAAGTAGTTGAAATTTTATAAAAATATATATTATTATATATTTACTGTGACACTTTTTATTTGTGTGACTTACTTGTGTTATATTATTATAATTTTTTTAACTTACAACATATAACTACATTAAACAAAAATATATCAACTGAGAAATAATTTTATTTTTTTAATAAAATTTAATAAATATTATTTTTTATTATTATAAAGATAAATATTATTTATTTATTTTATATATACAATATGGATGTCAAATCGAAGATCATGAAAAATGATTAATTTGATATATTATATATGTAAAACCGATAAGAAATAAAAAAGTTATCAACTTTTAAAATACATTTATAATTCAACAGCTAATTGAAGGAAACAAATCAAAAGTCAGGGATATATTAGTCACTTAGTGTCTAACTATGTAAAATTACAAAGAGTTAAAGGGTTATATTAGTACAAGTGATATTATAATATCTAAGTTAGCTAAATAATATTTATGGAATGTCCGAACCTAGATATTAATTATTAATATATCAATTTATTTGTCCGAACTTAATTACGAAGCATGATTCTTCGCCAAGTAGGATTCCGAAGCACCAGAAGCAGCCACGTAGGCTCAACGCATTCGGGAATTATATATAGGGGCGATAATATTTATTAAAATTCATTTGAAAAATAAAATTATTTCTCAATTGATATATTTATGCTTAATGCAGTTATATGTTGTAAGTTAAAAAAATTAATAAAATATAACACATGTAAGTTGCACAAATAAAAAGTGTCATACGAAATATATAATAATATATATATTTTTATACTTTTTCTCATTAATTTTAGATTTTAAAATAAAAAAAAATTAGCAAGCACCCGTATAATATACGGGCGTTGTACTAGTATATTGTATAAACTAAAAAAAATAGAGGAAGTAGCCAAAAAGTTAGGTCCTAACTTATATGAATTTACTCTATCTTCAATATCTATGAAAACTTTAAAAATATTTTATTTACTAAATTATTATTTTTCGAAACATATATTTTTTGGTATATATCTATTTGTATCTATAATTGTTAGGCGTGAGGGTAATCGGGTCGGACACTGAGTTTCTTATAAACATATACCCTGTTGTAA